AAACTTTTTAGGATTCGATCCGGAGTCCGGAACGGATTAAGTTCGAGAACCGAGGTACCACTGTATATTTCACCTGCAAGAATAACAGTAGAATCCTCATAACTTGTTTTGACCTGCAAGAAAGTCTCAAAAACAGATTTCTGTTGTATCTTACTGGAATATGTGTTATCCGCTGATGTTTATCACAGTTGAAAGTGTTATGTAATGTACTCTCGTAGAGCATCAGGGTCATGCTTGGTGTTGATGCTTACGTGAGTCCTGTTTACGTGTCTGTCACTACAGGCAGGGTGGGGTGCGTCTTTAAGGCCATATTCATGTCTGCTTTGTCAGCAGATGTGATGATTGGCTCTTTTGGTGGCATCTTGCTAGTATACGCAGTATCAGCCTAATGACTGCCCCCCCCCTCCCACCCCACCCTCCATGGTCAACTACTGCTCAAAACCTCTGACTCGAAGACACACTGGATGGAATCCTGGTTGGTTACAGTACATACCCCCTTGGAAGTCTTGGGTTAGTGATGAAACACTCAGTTTCGAACCCTCAGAAACAGAAAGGTGAAGAAAGGGTTCTGTTTTATAATAAGCAACCCTGTGACAATTGCTGTTATGTATATCATTAATTGTGGTCGGATACTGGACATTTCGCAGATGGCTTCTCAAAGTCTTAAGCCCAATCCTTCAGCACAGCCAAACTCAGCAATCTTATATCCTGTTTAAACAGCAAAACCACAAATCATGCAGCAGTAATAGCTAGCTGTTTGAGAAAGCATTTCCTAATGCCTTTTGTTTTTATCTCCAAGGGGGAAGCAGTTAAATATTTCTTGGACAACTTGGATCGCATTGGGCAACTGGTGAGTCATTGTAGCTTTTCCAAAATTTCTTTCTTTTCTGAAATTGGTGTATATTGTTTATCCTGTACATCTGTCATTACTCATAATGCTAGTCACACCGGAGCCATGAAGCAGAGAGAAAAAAGCAAGTAACGCTATTCAGTTAGCATTTCCCTTTTGGAGAAACATATCCATAAATTGTGTTGATCTAAAAAATATTGCCAGAGTACACAAATACAACATCATGTGATTCAAATATTCAGCAGGTATAATAAAGGCTAAGAAAGTTCAAGGGGATGCTCTTCTGATAGACTCTTTGGAATGATTAACTATACAGATGGGTAGTGTAAAACTGTCATTTAAGCAAGTCTAGGTCTCTAAGCATCTCATCACATGTACCTATCATTGTGTTCAATGTGTTCAATGTTGCTGCGTTCCCATATAAAAAAGAAACATTGTGTTCCCAGATCAGAGCCAGCCTGGATTCTTGTAATGTGCTGATTCTGTGGTCATCAGCAATCAGGCCCGGGCAACCCAAATCCTCCTTGTCTGAACTTGTGCTGTCCCTGGCACAGTGGGGGAGCCTGGACAGAGACAGAGAGTACAGAAACTATTAACTGGAAATATGAAGACCTGGCCTTAAAGCTGATTGACTCACAACATCACTGTTTTTCAAACTGTCACCAACTATTGAGGGCTTTCTTGGCCTGTATTTCAAAATATACTTTAGTCTTTATTCTTTGTTTTGTGCATAATGATGGTTTGTCTTCGTAATAGCAGAAGATAGAAGATCGCTTAAAATGGAAAGTTCTTTAGTGTGTGATATGTTAGTTTAGTTTCTAGTTTGGTTAATGTGACTGAAAGCAGTGTCCATGACATTGGCTATATCCCAAGTGGTAAGAAGAAACTACAGCAGTGGGATCCGTTCCATGGAAACCTTGTAAAAACCTGTAAGTCAACAAGTTCTGGTCAAGAATTCGGACCCAGTCTGCGCTGTGTTGGAAACTGTTTGGAGAAGCAGTGTGTCTCCTTTCTGCCAGCTTGACAGTATATATTTTGCCCATTTTAGGTGTCTTTAAAGCAGAAACTCCTACTGAGTCAGTTTGATCATTCCGATTGCTTGCATGATACCTATTCTTGCATGACTGCAAAAACTTTCTAAAAAAATTTCAACACTTTGCTAAAAGGAAATTCCTTTTGTCTTTCCCTTGCAGAGCTATCTCCCAAGCAGACAGGACATCCTTCTTGCACGGAAAGCCACCAAGGGGATCGTACAGCATGACTTTGTCATCAAGAATATCCCCTTCATGATGGTGGATGTGGGAGGACAGCGCTCCCAGCGCCAAAAGTGGTTCCAGTGTTTCGATGGAATCACCTCCATCCTCTTCATGGTGTCCTCCAGCGAGTATGATCAGGTCCTAATGGAGGACCGCCATACCAACCGGCTGGTGGAATCCATGAATATCTTCGAGACAATTGTCAACAACAAGCTCTTCTCTGATGTCTCTATCATCCTTTTCCTGAACAAGATGGACCTTCTGGTGGAGAAGGTGCAGACGGTGAACATCAGCAAGTACTTCCCCGATTTTAGGGGCAACCCGCGGTGCCTGAAGCATGTGCAGGATTATCTAGTACAGAGCTTCAACCGACGGAGGCGGAACCGCAGCCGGCCTCTTTTTCATCACTTCACCACTGCCATTGACACGGAGAACATCCGATTTGTGTTCCATGCGGTCAAGGACACCATCCTGCAGAAGAATCTTAAGGACATCATGCTAGAGTAAAAGACTGTTGGGGCAGGAACCTGAGACCAACACCTGGACTTTCTGCTTTGAAATCTGTACTTCCATGACTTTTCAAGCTTACAGAACCTTTCATGGAGTATGCTAATTTTATAGTGGGAATTAAGATAATAGAGAAAGTTAAAAAATAATTTACAGTAGTGAAATAGTTTGAAATGGGCCAACATGGCAATATTCTTTTGGATACACCTGCCACTGACGATCCATTTCCTCTGCATGGTTCTAGCTGGCAGCAAGCTTGGAACACACTTTGATTTTGACTTTATTTCAGCTGCATCCCTTGCAAAAAATAAAAGAAAAATCTATGGTACTTTTTAAAAACACTGTAAATGAAGGGCAGTTTTGGTCTTTGGTATATGCACCCTCTGAAATCAGCTGGGTACTTTGTAATGTATTTGCTCAGAAAGTATCTCAGTTGGTTGAATGACCACGTGCACTAATTAGTCACAGGCTCGAACTTACATAAACTATATAAATATCAGTCAAAGGCCCTGTTCATTGTTCAAAGAAAATCACACCACCCTCGCTCCTAGTGTGCGAGCGCTTGTGTGTGTGTGTGTGTGAAGTAGGTTTATATTGCAATGTGGGGACCAAACATCCCTCACAATGTGATAAAACCTGTTACTTTGACATTGTGGGGACTAAAAACTAAAACTAATAAGTTTGGTTACTTATGGTTAAGGTTAGGGCTGGTCAGGGGTTACGGTCGTCATGTTGGGATTAGAGATTTCCTAATAGAAATTAATGGAGAGTCCCCACAAAGATATAATTACAAACCTGTGTGTGTGTGTTGTGCTGTGTATTGATTAAACAAGTCATTATGTGCTTGATGTGTTAAGAAGACTTCAGTGGACTTAGTCATAACACTGATACCGAGTTCACTGCAGTCCTTTGTTACCTAAATCTCATAGTAATGGAAAGGCCAGTGAGTCTCATTTAGGTTTTAAGCACTTGATTTTCTTTTAGAGACAATTAAATTGGGGGTTGCATATTTTTATTGACAATTTACAGCCAGGACATAAGAGACTTTGCTGTTTCCTGATTTGTTTTCTCAGTAGGAATCATTTAATAGCAGTAAGCTATTTCATCTTTCCTCTGCAATACAGCATGAGTTTATTACATTTATCAGATTTCTTGGAGGTACACTCAATAGCATATGGCTAAGAGGCTGTAAGAACGCTGGGGTGCATAACATTATTATTCCTATGACTCTGCCGACTCCCATTGAGTTAATAGGCAGCCACACATTTCTCTTGGACTAGGTATGGAATTACACATTCCTTGAGGAAAACATAGATCGTTTTTGTTTCTTAGTTTTACTTCAGTCAATGGTTTATATGCAGTTAAAATATATAGAATTTTACCCCGCATCAGTATAAGCACTGTTTTGCCATTGCATTCTGTCTGCTTGATCTCAGGAAGTCCAATTCAGGTTCTTGTGTTATCCTGGTAGTTTGGTGAATTGTAAATATATGAAAAACTGCCTTGAAAAGCTGATTCCCATCCATTTAGCAACTCATTTTACAGTTTGGCTAACAGTGGTATTTTCACTGTCTGGTAGCAGCCTATACCATTGACTGTGGAATTTAGCTTATTAAGATTCAACGGGGATTTCAGCCATGTAGCAGATTGCATCTGAACCTCTGCTAAATGCTGTCAAATACATTTGGCCGTGTTTACTTGCTTGAGGTTGCCTGAGGGGATGAGGTGTCTGCACAAGCATACTGCTTGTTGAGTGAGTTCCGCCCCCCTCCCAGAGTCCCACGGCCTTTCACCCAATCAGCCTCCAACTACCCTGCTTCAGTGTAGTGCTGTGCAGGGCCACCTCTGTGACTTCCTGTGCAAGCAGAAGGTATGTGATCACTCAGCGGGTGGCACATGCCTCATAGGGTGAACTGTCAGATCAGGGTGGATGTTTTAAACAGAAAATCGAGCCGAGCTTTCAGCTCCGAAAGTCATTCGTTTTTAAGCACCACCTGGGTTTATTGGTTCACTGGAAAACTCTGTGTCAGAGAGACAGACAGGTAAATATATTGGTGTATAAGAAGGGAGAAGCAATTTTCTTTTCCCTCAATCTGAACAATTCATAAAAACAAACTATCACAGAACTTGCATCAGGACCAGGGTGAAGAAATAGTACTTTTTTCCCATAAACTGGGGCCTCTACTTTTGCCAGCACTCTATGCCAGTAATTCTGAAGGGTCATTCATGCCCCTGTACCCCCCCCCTCCCCCCTTCCTGATACGTGCACACATTGTAATGATTCCAACTGACCATTAGGGGGTGCTCTTCAATCTCTCTTCCTCATCCTATTTTGTATTCATCAGCCACTCTCCTGAGGATCCTCATTCAGATCGTAAGTTCTGTGTGGCCTTTTAAATGCAGTGAAAATAAAATCTAATTACCTATTGAATTATTTATTCTGTGCATGAAATATAAAGAGACTAAACACAATTTCCAGACGAATCATGGCCCTGCTAATAATTTTCTGAAATGGCATCGCTCTGAATTTAATGGAGTTTCTAATCTCTTGTTTCCACCTTGAAATAATGAAGTGTTTGTCTTTGAAGAACATTAACGTAGCATGTCTATGCACAAGTGCAGAATTCCTAATTATCATCTGCAGCAGCAACAGTGTATTTTAATGAGAGAACATTACCATTCTTACAAGCCGCTACCACCCACCAGAGTTGAAATACAGACCCAAGACATCGTAGTGATTATTATACCATCAAAGGATAATATGGGGCAAACCGATAGTATTGTTTTATTATTTGACAACTATCTGGGTGACAATTGAGCAAATTCTTGCTTGATAGCATTTAAACATTTTAAACAGTTTATTTGGTAGATTAAGAGTAATAAAATTCCTAAAATATAGCCTGCAGTAGGATATGCTCTGTCTGTGAAACACTGCCTGTGATTATGTTTATTTTTTACCTCTCATGTATTCACATACATTCAAAGCCTCTTACACATTCCCCCTGGCCCCCCCACAGGTTACCTACCTGTAGAACTCAGACTCTGAAAGTGTTCATCGATTGCACAGGCGGTATTATGGCTGTATATATAAATTATACAAAATGCAGTAAAGTGCTTTATGGTGAATGAACAGCATGGTGTGATGTCGTTTTTATAATCAGTGCTTCTGCTAATGGTATTGTGATCTGCACTCGCTACATTTGCAATTAAGCATGTGTTTGAATCAGAGACACTGTGGTGATCTATACTGAGATCAGAACCCAACCCCCTGGGTCACTTTCCAGTCCACACAGTTACAGAATTTTTTTTCATGGAAAAAGCAAAACAACAACAGAAACATGATGACATCTTCAGCTCCCGGTGCTGCGGTGCCCATAGTTCAAGTCTCCTCCAGGGTTCCACGTGTGTAGAGTTTATATGTTCTCCCCGTGTCGTCCTGGGGTTTCCCCCCACAGTCCAGAAACATGCTTAGGTTAACTGGAGTTACCAAATTGCCTGTTGGTGTGAATGGTGTGTGATTGTGCACTGGGATGGTTTGATGCCTCATCCTGGGTTGTTCCCTGCTTTGTGCCCGTAGTTTCTGAAATAGGAGAACAGAATTTGGATGGCTCATCTGCTCTTCACATCCATGGTTCATACTTCCGGAGTATGTTCTATTTACCTTTAGAAGGCCCCTCTTCTGATATCTCCAGGATTCAGCTTAACATCTTGTTGAATTCCATTGCCTAATACCCTGACTGAACTGACTGAAGTAATCCACCCGTCTCCCAAAACTATTTAAAATTTCCTTCAAAGCTTCATTGACAACACAATTTTCAGAGATTAGTGTGGTAAAGCTGGTCATGTGAGCTTCATTCATAAAGTTTCATTTATAAACTTTAAGAAAGGGACAGACACACAAGAGCAGATACTGTATATAAATATGTTACTGCTTCACAAACAAGTGTGGGGTGTGGGATAAGTCATCCACACAAAGACTCTTTCTGCAGGCATAATCAGACATTTACTGACATTTCTGCCAGTCCACGCTTAATTGAACTTACAGCTAAATATTTAACCATCTCTCCTCAACATGCATAGCAGCTGAGGTCCACGTTTGCCAGCTGGTCCTGCGTAACATCTGGCCAGAGGACAGCCAGCTGGCCCTCTACCTTGCATTCAAGTTCTCAAGTAACAAAAACAGCATTCATGGTCAAATCTTCTTAATTCTTATAAACAGAACAGAGTATAGATCTCAATTGCACCAAATTAGGAAAGGCATTTGCAACCCTGTTTCCAAAGAAGTTGGGACACTATTTACAATGTAAATAAAAACAGAATGCAATGACTTGCAAATCATATAAACCCATATTTAATTGAAAATAGAACAAAGACAACATATCAAATGTTGAAACTGAGAAATTTGATGAATATGACAAATTTGAATTCGATGCCAGCAACACGTCTCAAAAAAGTTGGGACAGGGGCAACAAAAAACTGGAAAAGTAGTGTATTGCTAAAGTAAACCACCTAGTTGAATATCTCACAACTAATTAGGTTAACAGGTCAGTAAGATGGTTGGGTACACAAGGGACAAGGCCAAAAACCAGTATTGGATAGCCGTGATCTTCCTCAGGCAGCACTGCATTAAAAACAAACATGATTCTATAGTGGAAATCACTGCACGGGCTCAGGAACACTTCTGAAAACCATTGTCTGTGAATACAGCTCACAATGCAGGATCGAAACCTGCCATGCAAAGAACAGACCATATCTAAACACAATCCATAAACACTGCCAATTTCTCTGGGCCCAAGCTCATTTAAGATGGTCTGAGGCAAAATGGAAAGCTGTCCTGTGGTCTGATGAATCAAGGTTTCAAATCCTTTTTGGAAATCATGGACGCTCCAGGCTAAAGAGCAGAGCGACCATCTAGCTTGTTATCAGCGCACAGTTCAAAAGCCAACATCCATGATGGTATGGGGGTGCATTAGTGGTAGCTTGTGGCATTAAAACTGAATGATATATACAGGTTTTGGAGCAACATATGCTGCCATCCAGACAACATCTTTTTCAAAGAAGGCCTTACATATTACAGCAAGACAATGCCAAACCGCATTCTGCACATATTACAACAGCATGGCTCCATATTAGAAGAATTTGGGTGCGAGACTGGCCTGCCTGAAGTCCAGACCTGTCACCCATCGAAAAACATTTGCCGCATCATGAAACGAAACATATGACGAAGCAGACTGTTGCAACACTGAAATCTTATATCAGGCAAGAATGGGACAATAATTCACTTTCAAAACTCCAGAAACTGGTCTCCTCAGAAAACATTTACAGTGTTTTTAAAAGAAGAGGTGATGCAACACAGGGGTAAACATGCTCCTGTCCCAACTTTGTTGAAACATGTCACTGGCATCAAATTCAAAATTAGCATATATTATCATAAAACAATAAGAAATTCTCAGTTTTAACATCTGATATTTTGTCTTTGTTCAATTCTCAATTAAATATGGGTTTATATGATTTGTTAACCATTACATTCTGATTTTATTTACATTTTACACAGCGTCCCAACGTTGCTGGAAACGGGGTTTTAATATTTTTATGTGGGCAGTGGATATTGCCATAAAGATTATGATTGGACAGGCTGAGAAAAAGGCAGCCGGGTGGGGATAAA